GCGGGGAGGGGAGGTTACCAGCAGGCGCCCTGCCACAGGCACCCACCCTGCCGCTCGCCGCCCTGGGCCTGCAACCTCACCCAGGCAATTACGCAGCACACAGGCAGGGAATAACATCTAGGATTAATTAAGCCAGCTCCCACCTCCACGGCCCTGCTCGGTCCGGCTCTGCCAAAAAGCTGCAGATGGGCCACGCAGGGATCAGTGTGAGGGCAGCGATGCTCTGTGGCGCCAACGGGGGCTGCTGACCTTACAAATCAGCCTCCTCCCGTTAGGCCTGGGCCACTGCCCATGGGCTGTGGGGAAAAGCTGCCCCCGGGTCCATGGCGCCTTGGGAGCTTAGGCGGCTGCCTCAGGGGTCCAGCCCTGGCCATGATGTGCCCAGAGCTCCCCACCAGCCTGGGGGCTGATCCGGACCTTAGTGACGGCCCCTGTTCCCTAGACAAGGAGCCATCCGAAGCCCCATCCCTATGTCTGAGACTCAACTTTCAGCAACACTTGCTCTTCAGCCTCCCCCCCCAACCCTATACTCCCCCCTGTGGGAAGGCAATGTTTTGGGGGATCTGGGAGCGGGTGCCCCCCGCCAGCCCCATTTCTCAATGCCTTTCTTGTGCGGAGCAGGGCGAAGTCTAAAAATGGAGGGAGATCTCTGAGGGAGAAACTGGACAAAATAGGATTAAACCTGCCAGCTGGGAGGCGTAAAGCTGCTAATGTTACCTTGCTCACTTCGCTTGTGGAGGGTAAGTGACTCAAAGAGCCGGGAGGGCTCGTTTGGAAAATGTGCCCGTTGCTTTTGCCTAACAGAAGACTTGGTGTTGGGTTGGGGTTTTTTTTTCCCCGAGTCAGTGCTGCTTGTTGGAAATTGGAAGGGCATTATTTTCTATGCCTCAGGAAGAAAAGGTGAATTATGTGCCTTTGCTTTTTGTTTTAACCTGAAACGGGCTTGCGTGAGTCCTGCAGACTCAGCATTGCATTCTACCATTTATTTGCTTTTAAGTCTCTAAGCTAGACGTTTTCAGGGCCCCATCTTGCTCCCTCGTTCAAGTGAGTAATCCCAGAGTAAGTGGATCTCATTGGGAGCAGCATGGGAGAGATCCCTGTGAATGGGGGCTGTGGGTTCAGCCCCGTAAGAGACCCCTGAGTGTCGAGTTGGAAGTTACGGGGAGCAGAGCCTCTAATCCTTCACTGCCGTCCTTCTGCCACAGGTGGACAACCAAGCAATTTTAAATGTCAGAAACTGCAGCTACTTTATAAGTTTGTTCTCCCTCCCAGCCCACAGCCACATAACAGTAAATCATTTAAGTTTTCTGACATCTGCATTTGAGAAATGCGTGACCATTACTTCCTGAATTAATTTGGGAATCCTTGACCTCAGCCATGAATTAATGGTGTCCTGAAAGCCTCAAAGTTGCACGCCCCCCCGCCCCCCCGACTCCCTTTTGGTTCTCATTTTCAGAACACGTGTTCCCTTGGCTATATCATTCTCCTCTACTCTGCTGTGGCCAGAAAAGATGCAACTTACTTCTAAGGCCGTGGGGATGCCCTATGCTGTCAGAACCGGGAGGTGGGAAGCTCAAGAGTTTGCAGTCGTTTAGTTTTGAAGCACTTGCTCTGTCACACTGACTGGCACAAAGTAAGCCCAAGGCCAGCAAATAGATCCTTCTCCTTTCCCCTCGCTTACGGGTTCGACAGCATTTTAGGCCAGTTCAGTGTGTAAAGTGCTTTTAAGCTCAGCCTGGGCTGCGCAGGTTTAGCTTAAGTTTGGTTGTGTAGGAGGGAATTTGTTGCTTTGTTTTGTTGTCGCTTCGCATTCTGCGAGAAATGTTTCATGTTCAAAGGGACGGGGAAAGAAGCGCTGTGCAATGCCAGGCTTCATTTTTTTTAAACACCAGGATTAGTGGCCGCACTATATTTATACTGCGTGAAAATTACTGCGTCTTCATGTTTTTGAAAAGGCTTTGCAATTGCATCCATGCGCTGTAGTAAAAAATCACAAGGGGAAAACTTGTAAAAAGTCTAGATTTGGTAGCTGCTTAACATTATTTGTGATGTTAATGAATATGGAGCAGGTTTTATGGTAATCTGTTGTTCTGTTTAGCTTTCGCATACAATGGCTTTAAAAGAATGATTTTTTAAAAAAACAAAACCAGAGGCCCGATCTCCAGATAACTTAGCAATGGTGGCTAATTTTGGGGGGATGATAGTATAAACATTGCTGGGGCTTTGAGTCCTGTAGCGATGAGGCAGTTTCTAGAGTACTGTTATTGTTTATGATCCGCTCCATTTTATGGAAACAAGCTCACTGGACTGAGGCTTTGAAGCTCTAATTGGCGCATGCGTTCTTCCGGAGCTAGAGCTAATGGCAGGAAGCCCTGCAGTAAAAACCAACTGGTTCAGGAAATTAAAACCAAAGATTTGAAAATCAACAAAACAGACAGACTCGGTGGAATGACCCTAAAATTCTCATGGTTAATCGTTCGGGGGTGAACATATAATTATATGCGATCAAGTTAAATTTTAAACACTTAGCTGTTTAATGCATTTTATTTAGAAGAGCTCTAGGAGTAATTATGATCAATATTAATCATTGATGCATTGCAAAAGAATATAGAGACGTGGCTGAGACAAACAAACATTTCCAGAGTAAATAGCTGTGGATGAAATGTACATAAATGGCTGTGTATAGGTATGGGTATGTAAATCCAAGCACACATTCTAGGTGGATGGAGCCTGCCTGTCTAGAAGTATCTGTTAGTCAATGTAAACTTTAAAAAATTCTTATGCGAGATTTCACTTGTAACGATTGTCATGAAAATACACATTTGCATTGCCCTCGACTGAAGCACAGAAAACTCATGCAAGATAAGATGCGATTAGCATTTCTTACCCTACCTTTTTCAAAGAAGAAAAGTCCAAGCCTTTTAGAAGAACAGCCCAAGTAGAATGTAGTGCTTTTTTTTCCTAATGGATTTTTGCCTCTGTGCGATGTGTACTGATGAGCTGTGTGTTTCCCTCCCATCCCCACCCGTACCTCCCTTTTCAGGAGAAGCAGTACATCTAGCTAGAGATTTTGGGTACGTTTGTGAGACAGAATTTCCTGCCAAAGCAGTAGCTGAATTTCTCAACCGACAACATTCCGATCCAAACGAGCAAGTCACAAGAAAAAACATGCTTCTAGCTACAAAGTAAGATATTTACCTTTCTGGCATGTTGCTCAGAAGTGAGGGGAGGGCGACAAACCTGGGTTTGGGGCTTGTATTTGTGAGCGGTTGCCACATAGCCGGTGGCTGATGGTTTTGCAAATTGTGAGGGGGTGTGTTTGCCCTCCTGCTATAGAAGAACTCTATAACCCAGCTTGGTTTCCATCAAATCAGTTTGTGCAGATAACCTTGAAAGTGAGTCGTGAAAATTGTGGGTGGATGTTTAGTTAAAGAAAAAGCAGTAATTCTTCAGAGCAAAACATTTTCCGGGCCTTTTCACTTAGCTTATCAATTTAGGTAGAAGGGGAAGGCTTCCCATTGACAGTAAAATAAAACTGGCACATCAAACTGATTTCAGTTCATTAAAATCGGCAATGGTTCTTTCTGCCTAAGCAGCTCTGTTACTTAGTGAATATGGGGATATTAAAAATATATTTTAAATTGCAATCTGTACGCAGTTAAAATGCTAGCGGAGTTTATCATTGGTGGGGCTGCCTAGACTTCCAGGTGGTGTGTGAAAAGAAAATGATTGTTTTGATATGTTTGCTGGAAATTAAAAGGGTTGTTTAGTAGCCCTTAATTACCAATGGAGGTGTCACCAAAGGGCACAGTGCCAGAGGGTGCAGGCAGAAGATGGGAGCTGCTTTATGGCTGGAAGACATTAACGCGGGTTTTAGAATACAAACCGTTTCAACACACCTCTGAGCTCTCTTGCTATAAGGCGTGTTATTTCCCCAACCATTTGTGCAGCGAGTGGATGATATAACCTAACTTCTGCACCGTGCCCTCGTATCCTCTCTTCCCACCTCCCTGGAAGGAAATTTCCAGACCCCAGTTAGCGTCAGCCTTCCCCTCTGTGGGAAGGTCCCTTTGGATTTGGAGATACAGATGTACCTATATAAATGTTTCAGAACACCCTAATTTAAAGCCTCGATTCCCCTCTCTGCCCTCGCTCTTTCTTCCCGACACACAGGCGTGTTTCAGCCTTGTGAAGGAAGAGGCCCACGCCTCTCTCCAGTTCCAAAAAAAGGGATCTTCCAAGATGTGGATAAATCCCTGAACCTCCCTTTGGATATCGCACCCCATCTATTCCCTTCCGCCTTGCTGGGGAACTTTAACCTGCCTGTCTGCCCCAAAACCTAGCTGGGCAGGGATGTTGTGTTTGTGGGGAGGGTGTGGGGGGCTGCAATAAGGGGGTTGGCAGGGGTAGGCGGGAGGGGTGTGTGTGTGTATCTGTGTGCCTGTTATTTGTCTGTGTGTTGGCTGGGGCCGGGGCCTGATGTGTGTGCGCAGTCATGTGTGCATGCGAGGTGAAGGGAAGAGGTTTGTGCGTGCCGGGGAAGTGTGAGAATTAGGGGGAAGGATGTGTAGAGAGGAGAGGGAGAGGCGAGAGAGAGCGCGTGTGCACTCAGGGGCAGGAGCCCCCTTGGTCCAGGGGCTTGTGTAATCTAGCAGGGAGCATGCACAGGCTTTGCTGCCGCCAGTGATGGTTCATTTCTCTCCCTCTCTCTTCCCCTCCCTCCCTGCCTCCCTCCTTCTGTCTCTCTGCTCCATTTGTGCTACAGACAGATCTGTAAAGAGTTCACCGACCTGCTGGCTCAGGACCGATCTCCCCTGGGGAACTCGCGGCCCAACCCCATTTTGGAGCCGGGCATCCAGAGCTGCCTGACCCACTTCAACCTCATCTCGCACGGCTTCGGGAGCCCGGCGGTGTGCGCTGCCGTCACCGCCCTGCAGAACTATCTCACCGAGGCGCTCAAGGCCATGGACAAAATGTACCTCAGCAACAATCCCAACAGCCACACAGACAACAGCACCAAAAGCGGCGACAAAGAGGAGAAGCACCGAAAGTGAGGATCCCCCCCCCACTCCTCTCCCTTCCCCCTCATAGCCCATCGATCCATTCACCTCCCTCCTCCCTCTCCCCTGCACCCAGCACCCCAGGCTACAGCAACAGAACGAGCGTCCTTCTGCCAATCCTGTTCTCTGACTCTGCAGGACTGCTCTGCCCTCTCCCCACACCCCTTCCCAGCATCCGCATTTCCATTTGCTCCCTCTTAACTTCCCCCCCTCTCCCCGCTGCCACCATCGTTTTACCCCAGTTTGGAGCCTAAGAGAACAGAACAGGGGGACGGAGCCAGCAAAGAAAAAAAGTTCTGTCTTGAGTTTGTGAACTTTTTTTTAAATAAAACAAAAGGAGGAAAAAAAAAAACCACAAAAACAAAACAAAAAAAGAAAAGGACTTTTTTTTTCTAAAAATATATTAAAAAATTAAAAAAAAAAACCAAAAAGAAATAAATGATACTTAAAAAATTCTATGAGCTTCACCGGACTGAATCACCACCTTCCCTTACATAAACTTCAGTTAAGATTGTAGCCATATTAAAAATGAAAAAAAGCGAAAAAAGTACAACAGCAGCAGCGACAGCAAACAAACAAAAGGCAAAAAGGACTGATGACATTTTATCAGTATTGTGAATAAACTTGAACACAAAACACAAGCAGTTCCATGTCATATCTTCAGTTGTAGAACTTTTTCCTGTCCAAGGTAAAGCGACCAACTTGAACTTTCTATTGCAACACGATTCACGGTTATTATATAAGGGAATCAGTGTTCATGTATGTATATATTTATTTATGTGTAATTTAATGGGAATTGTAAATATGGTGAGTCTGTTTTAAGCCTTTTTTTATTTATCTGGTGATCTCGTTTACCTCTTGTTTAGTGGGTTTTAAATCTTCCCCTCTTAGTTCATCATGTGGTTCATGGTACTTATTTAGATATCAGAGGTTTTTTGGGGGTTTTTCTCTGGGATTCATCATTTTTAGCCCTGTTGTAGCATGTTAAAGGCGACAATGAAGCAGCTGAACAAATAAAAAAACCATGAATTTTTATATATAATTAGTATGACATTTAGTTTCTCGTTGAAGATAAAATAAAGTGATGTTAGACCCTGGCAAGGTTTTTAAACATGTTAGTGGTTTTACAACCCTTATGTGTTGTGGAAAATGAAAGAAGAAGTTACTTTCATTCACTGTCCTTCTCCCGAAAGCACCATCAGAGCAATAAATTAATACTGTCTTTTAAAACAAGATATAGCTTTTCTTTCCTTTTTTCCCCCCTCTCGTATTTGTTTCTTTCTCCCTTTCTTTTGTTTTTCTTTTTCTCCTTTTTTTCTTTTTTTTTTTTCCCAAAGAACTTCAAACATTCGGGACCACCTGGTATCCTGTATTTCCACTGGCCATATTGGAAGCAGTTATAGTTGTATTGTATTGAGTTGTGCCGGCAGTAGTTTCCATGCATATCAATGTATCATAGTCGTTTGTTGCCCAGATAAATAAATATTTGATACGCTTTATGTCGATTTTTTTATTCAGTGGCTGTCTTTACCCAGGCGTATTTTTGTTCTTGGCAGTTTTTTTTATTCAGTATGGTTACAGTAATTGAGTTTAACTCTCCCTTGACAATTGCTCCTTGCAAAGCAGCTGATGTTCTTGGCAGTATTTTTTATTCAGTATGGTTACAGTAATTGAGTTTAACTCTCCCTTGACAATTGCTCCTTGCAATAAGCAGCTGAACCCATTGTTTCCCTCAAGTATAATAAAAACTTACTTTCAACTTGGAGTTCAGAGCAGGGTATCATTTAGATATTCCACTGAGTCTGTATTCAGACAAATGACACAATAAAGCACAATGTATTCTTTTGGATAAAAAATTGTCTGTACTACTAACAAAATGACACACTATCTTTTCTTTAACCAAAACATAATTTTATTTAAAAAATAAAGTTTTATTTTATTTATGTTGACCTCTAGGTTTTTATTTATGTTTCTATCTAGCGTGCAGAATTATAAGCCTATAAAATTTTGTACATGTAGTTGTCCTAACGGAGAGCGGAGATTAGAAAAGACATTATCCCGAGAAGGACATTTTAAAAAGAATCATTACCGAGCAAATACTGAAAAGGAGGTGCTGTGAAAAAAATTATATACTGGTGAATCAGAGCCGGGTGCTCCCTCCCCCTCAAGAAAAAAGAAAAGCTCCGTAGTCGATGCCGACGAAATCGTCTCGCAGTTGTGAACTTTGGTGAAATCTTGCAGGAGACAGATGATTTCTGACTGATGGTTCGTGTTTTAGTGGAATGCACAGACTGACGTTTTGAGGCGGTCGCGCCAGTTTGTAAGGGACTGAAATTTTTATCTTGAGTTTCTTCTCGTGGAAACCAGTTGTAAAATAGGGAAGTTTGCTTTAAAAAAGAATGGCGTGTACTTCTTGAAGATGGGCTGTAAAAACATGTGAGAATTCAGACTTTGAATCTATTTTCTTTGGCCCAGGGGGCAGGTGAAGTCAGGATCAGGCTGGATTATATTATGTCATAGGAAGGGAGGCTAACGCAGTTTAGAATGTAAAGGCATTTTAAGGAGATGGTCTCCTTTAAGTGCTGATGATATTTTGGTGGTGGTGGCTGATTTTTCTCTCTTTCTCTTTCCTTCCCTCCCTGACTCTCTCTTTCTCTCTTTTTTTTCCTTTTTGCTCAGGCAGAAATTGAGGAGGTTAAGAGGGAGGTGTTTACAATAAAGCTGCAAAGAGAATTAACATTTGCTCATATATTTTGACGTTTGGTAGGGCTGGTGAAGCAAAGCATTAGATAAAGCCCAAGATGTTTCATTTTGCTTTGGTAATCTACTTATGGAAGGCAGTGTAAAATCAATCTTGCCAAGCAGAAAGAGAGTTGGTGGAGTCTAAATTCTATTTTCGAGAGCCAGCCAGTTTATAAAAACCGTGAATATTTTTTTCCTATAAATTGAAAGTGGATCTTTTGAATGCAAAGCTGCAATTGTTTTAAAAACAGTTATTTATTATTTCCAAGAGAGACTGGTTAACTGTAAAGTAGATGTAACAAAATAATGAGGTGAATGAACCCTAACTGTACATATTCTTGACATAAATGAAATGCACAGTATTGTAGCAGGTGAAGTGAAGCATTGTCTATCAGGGCTGTTTTTCTTGGCTGCATCTCAGATTGTGTGTGGGATCCTAACCTCAGGCACAATAGCATTCATAAACAGCAATACATTGCTGCTCTTTCTACAGCAACACATAAATACTCATTTTTAAACGAAAACAATCTTATTAAATACCATTCATTCATATCTGGATTTACAGATGCTTGTTACTTTTTGAAACCTGTACCCAATATAATCGTTTTATACTGGGCAATGTATAAAGCAGTCTTATGCTAGAACATTATAAGGTCATAATAAATAATGTTTTAAAGATATAATTAGCTACTTTATGCTAGGAGAGCGCATTTTAAGTATCCTGCTGCTGCATTAGCAAGCCACCAGAAAACAGAAATGAAATGACCTTGCATAGATTTCTTTATTACTATTATTTCTAAGGAAGGATTTTACAGGCGATAATGGAAATCAGACTAGCTTCGGTTCAGCCCCTTCTGCTGTGACCAATATGCAGTTACTAAAACGTGCTAATTACTTCAGCGTTCTTTGGATGCGTTTTTAACGTTGTGATCGAGGCGCAGCAGTGAAATTCTAGGTCATGCTTTTATACACTAAACAAAAATCTGCTGTTATTTTTTTCCCCCGGATTGGCTGAAATGAGGGTGAGCGGTGGCTGAATGTTAGACCGTTGCTGCCACGCTAAGCTAATTCCTACATGTGAACCAAAACGCAGCTCGGTGCTCTTTCACCGTGAACAAGGACAGCCCTCCTCTTTGTACCGTAATTTACCCCACCCTCCAAAAATCGAATATTAATATAATTTGAGATTTAACTGGTGGAACAGCCATCAGGACAGCAATGCCCCGCAGCTGAAATAATATTTAAAATAGAAGGGATTTGACATTTGAGAAGTCAGTGGCTTGAAATACCCAGTTGTACTTAGCTAATTCAGTCCTTAACCTCTGGTTTCAAATAAATCAATTACAGTCGATTCCACTTCAGTTCAGAAGTGCACGAGGTTTTTAGTTAATTGAATACATTTTATTCACTTGCTAGGAGTATTCATTTATCCAAACCCTTACATTTAAAGGCGATTTCTTTATTGTCCATGATAAATTCGACTGCGTAATCAGATCAGCTCCTTGTTTGTTTACTCGTCTTCTGCCTCGCATTTACATTCCAGAATGTGCACTTCCCTTTCCCTCCTCGGTACGTGCATGTCTCAGCCCAGACCAGATTCCCAGAGCGTCAGCCCTCGCGTTCACAAAGTGTAGTTAAAACAACAAGCGCCCTTCCGACGGGGAGCAACGTGAAGCCCGTCCCAGCCAGCGAGGGCAGAGTGATTTAAACCGGCTCGATAATCAAACGCGAAAGGTCGGGAGTGTAAAAAATAAATGGTGCCTCTGATTCTGTTCCATCTACCTTTTCTGAATGGAAGGGCTACGTCTCTGCTCCCCGCCCTGCGAGCGGCGGGAGCTCTTAGACCCTTAGAGCAGATTTGGAGCCAGCTCGATGTCGGCGGGAGAAGATTTTTGTCGAGCACTGGGCAGTGAAGTTGTGTCACTGATCCACTTTGAACAGATATTGATACACGCCGTACTTTGTGTGTGTTGTTTGCGGAATCCTGCTGGCGTTCGTTTGCTGTTTTGGAAAGGGAAGGGGTTAATTAGCACCATTATCAATCACTAATGCTTGTCTAACGTGTCCAAAGAATAATCAAGTTAGGGGACTGCATGAAGCTAACATCTGCTTCATTCCAGCTAAAGATTTTTCCCTATATCGTTCAATTATTGGAAGTCCACACCGGTTTCAGGCTTTGTCAGGGCCATAAACCAGGGTCAGATCGTTAGAAATCTAGAATGGAAGGGAAAGTGCAATATAAATAACAAATGGCTTCATTATTTGAGTTACAGGTGCAAGAATGGCCGTGAAAATGAGCAGGGATTACTAGAATGTGTTCCTTCTTTTTATCTCCAATATGGAGGAAAAAAGACATCAGCCAAGCCCGGTTCTTAAAGAATTTATTCTGCACAGGTTGCAGCCTCTCTATTTGCAATATTTAGTTTAGTAACCAAACTCCCCAAAATAAGTAGTTTAAAGCAAGCGATTGGAAACAGAGCAAAAGTAAATGTCTCTCATGACCCATTACTAGTGGACCCTTACTGGCTTCAGAATAGCAAAATAGCCTCGTTTCTCCTCTTCTGGTTGAAGTTTCTAGGCTTTCTTGGGTGGGTGAAACAGCTGATATTTCGGGCAGGGTAAACAGAAATACAGCTTATGATGGTGGAAAAGATTTGTGTCCTTGAACT